AGATTTGATGTGTGATCAACCGGACCCTTTCCGGCCAAACAGCCGTCCGAACCTGTCGATGGACGGAAATGTTTGCGATCATGTGTGATCGCTGTATGAGCAGTCGTGACTCGTGATTGAAGCCTCTGCCCATTTCACGGTAGGACGAGCTGTGGCTGGCAGTATCTGCGGACGAGGGACGGGTTCAATGGCTGCCGCTTTCGTCAACATGAAGTCGAGGCTCGCTGGGGTCCTTGCTTTGTTCATGCTGAGCTTTTCGTTCCAGGTGCATGCAGCACTTTTGAGAACGGGCGGGCAAACAGACCTGCCAAGAATCCAACTTAACAAGTCTGCGCCGGGCAGCAGGGCAGCTAGCTGGCTTGGACAGCCATACTTGGGAGGGGTCAAGGAAGCCATCAACGAGCTGGCACTGGGATCGCATCCAGATTATGTCGCTCTCAACAACTACCTCGATGCTCAGGTGGTTGCTGAAGCATTCACAGCTTTGTTCTTGTGACAGCAAATGTTGAATATCTGTACCATCAGTATGCATCAGACAATGAATGAAGTAGTAATTTCCAATTGCATTTCACCCAACGCAATCGTATATTTTCTCCTTGATTTCCTCACCCCGCCATTGCCTCATTGATGCTAGAATGTTTTCCTTGTTGTCTGCAGTATTATGGCACCATTGGTCTGGGCACCCCTCCCCAAGATTTCCGGGTGGTTATGGACACTGGCTCGGCAAACCTGTGGGTCCCCTCTACAAAGTGCCGCTTCTCGGTGAGCGGGCGTCCTGGGTGCACAATGTTTTCAGCACGGGCAAAGTGGACAGTCGTTCACCAGCTTGCCGGCTTTTGCACTTGCTAGCTTCTTGCATGGTTTTGACTGTTTTTGTCTGGGAAAATGAAAGCAAGGAAGTCTGAAAGTAAGCCTGTTGAGTGGTCAAATTCAAAGGTGCCCCTTCATAAGTATTTCCATAAAACTTGCCTGGATTTTGCCTTGACTAGTCGCACCGTTTGTGTGCAGATTCCCTGCTGGTTGCACCACCGGTATGACGCGAGCAAGTCCTCCACATACAAACCCGATGGTGGGTTGTGTTTCCGCTTTGCCTCTGATGCAATGAGAGGTGCAGAAGTCAGCAATGTTTCATTTCCTCTTCAATTGCGAGTGTTGCAGTCAGTGGCGGTTCGATGGGACAGTGAAGTTACTTGATCTGGTATACAGCATCTCAGTCAGTCGCATCCTGTGCTTTGGTTGTTACAGCGCTGCTTTGTCAGGGGCGGCCTCCTTCATTTGGTGGTATCACCCCTTGCAACAATCTTGCACGCCGGTGTCATGGTGATGAAACCCCAATGCTCCAGGCTTACCTACTTGGCTGGGCATGCTTGGCTGCAGGGAGACCCTTTGCCATTCACTACGGAACAGGGTCCTTGGAGGGCTTCTTGAGTACCGATGTGGCGACCATTGGGGACGTCAAGGTGCAGGGCCAGGTGGGCGCTCTCCACTACTTGAAAAATCCTTTTGTTGTGAGCGGCTTTGTTACGGAAGGATTCAGGAACCTCAGAGAGTCTTTGAGATACAAGATGAAAAGCAGAACTTTTTAAGTGGATCAATCAGACCTTCCTAGAAGCAACTTTGGTCGAAGAATGTGATGGACTTGCTTAAAAGCAATTTTGGCTGAAAGTGGGGTTCCATCACAAGGGCTACTGCCGAGAAGCTTAGCTCGTTAATTGTCAGGCTGCACATTTCATTGTCAGGCTGCACGGTGGCCAGGGAAGTTTTGGAAGAGGACAAGAGCGAACGTCTCATGCATCGTCTCGTTGCTTTGCGCTTTGGTTGTGACTATGAGCACCACTTCTGTTTTGTGCAGACCTTTGCTGAGGCAACCAAGGAGCCAGGCCTGGCATTCCTCGCTGCCAAGTTTGACGGTATCCTGGGGCTGGGCTTCCTGGAGATTTCCGTGGACAAGGTCCAGCCGCTCTGGTGAGGCGCCGCCTGCCGCATACAGGAGCTCTGTCAATCTCGCAAGCATGTTGCTCTTGATCCTCAACGTCAGTCTCTTGGAGGACGCTCAACATTTGGTTGGAAGCACTTTTGCTTACTACTGCAATCCGTTTGGCCTGGCTCTGATTGAGACACACGATTGTGCTCTCCGCTACTGTGCACACGGTGCCCTTATCCCCCGAGCTCCGGGCCCCATCTCAGAATTTTGGTTGGCAGCTGACATTCTCTTCCGTTCCCAGGTACAACATGCTGGAGCAGAAGCTGGTCCCGGAGGCCATCTTCTCGTTCTGGTTCAACCGCGACGCGGCGGGCGCCGTTGGCGGCGAGATGGTCCTGGGCGGGGTGGACCCCAAGCACTTCAAGGGCAACCACACGTGGGCGCCCCTCACGCGCCGCGGCTACTGGCAATTCCGCCTGGACGATGTCCTGCTCGATGGCAACTCCACGGGCTTCTGCAAGATCGGGGTCGGCTGCCAGGCGATTGCCGACACGGGAACCAGCCTTCTGGCAGGGCCGTCCGCGGTGGTTGCTGAGATCAACCAGGCCATCGGTGAGCAGCGGCACATGCTAGTTGAGTCAATCCGGGAACTGAGTGCACCGGCAAGCCCTAAAAGATAGCCAAGAAAGTCGAGATGCAGAGTCAGTTTTAGCGAGAGAGGTCAGCACATCATCTGCGCCCTTGCCGAGCACAGTGATTGGGCCAGTCTTTTCCCCCCTGCTGAGTGTGGCGGATTTGCACGTGCGCGCAGGCGCCAAGGGCGTGGTGAGCGAGGAGTGCCGCACGCTGGTGGAGGAGTACGGGTCCGCCATCATCGACCTGCTGGAGCAGCAGGTGGACCCCGCCAAGATCTGCGCGCTCCTCGGGGTCTGCGACCTCTTCACCAAGTGAGCACTTTGGCACAGCTGCACTCGACATCTTCCGATTATTGCAAAGCATCGTTTGGTCTGCAAAGGTTGTCTCTTTTTCCGGGTTGGATTTTGTTATTCCCCTCCCTTGCTGGTGAATTGTTGAGGCTAGCGAACAGGACCTGCATATGTTCCAGCCTTGCAGATATGCTTTGGGAGTTGGTCGTCGCTTCAAGCCTTGCCACCTGTTTTCTCCCCTAGGATGGACAGGGGCGACGAGAGCCACCACCGGAAGCTGCTCGAGGTGCTGAGGCTGCCCTCAGAGAGCGCGCAGGCCGGGCCGCACGTGCAGGGCGACGTGCCGTGCGCCATGTGCGAGACGTTCGTGGTGTGGGTGGAGCACCAGGTGATGCAGAACAAGACCAAGCAGCAGATCCTTTATGTAAGCCCACCGCAAACTCAGCCTTGTCTTGAGTGCTTGCACATGTCTGGCCGCATGCCAGGTCCAAGTTGTTGAAATGTGGACGGCAAATCTGCAAGAGCTGTTAGTGACATTGTCCAATTGCATCCGCTTTTTCTGAGATTGCCTTGACAGAAAGTACGTGTTCCCCTGACCGAGCCATCGTTCAGTCGTCTGGCCGCTATTCTTTCGCAAGATAGACTCTTGATTCGATTGCTCTATCTTAAGCAACTTTTTCCGCGCCTTTTGCGTTTGCCCGAGGGTCTCTCTCGTTCTAGATCGTATTTCCCCGTTTCCGCGACATTCTTCCCCGCCAAATCAGCTGACCTGTGCGTGTCCCTGCAGGAGCTCAACCGGCTGTGCGACCACCTGCCCAGCCCCAAGGGCGAGTCCGTCATCGACTGCGCCAAGCTGCCGGACATGCCCGACATCGCCTTCACCATCGCGGGCGAGCCGCTCGTGCTCACCCCCGAGCAGTACATCCTTAAGGTACACCGCACGTCCACGCTCGTGTGATCCACCACTAGAGATGTGGATCGACAGAGGGATAGGTTTGGCCCTTCTTTGGAGTCACCTTGGGGTTTCTCTGTTCATTCGTGGTTTGTGACCATGGCTATGCCTCGTGTGATGCAGGGAGACGTTGTTCAATCATGACATGGGGCCACGTTCAAACTGATGAGCAAAAACCGAGTGTCACCTCCTCTGCCTGCAGATTGGTGCCGGGGGACAGAGCCAATGCATCAGCGGCTTTATGGCGTTCGACATCCCGCCTCCAATGGGCCCTCTTTGGATACTGGGAGACATCTTCCTTGGCGCTTATCACTCTGTATACGATTTTGGCAACGAACGGGTCGGTTTCGCACCAGCTGTGTGATCCCGCGGATGTCAAAGATTGCAGATTGAAAGGGTATACGATCCCTAGCAAGATTTTTGTATTCGATATATTTCAGCTTCCATTACTGGTAAAGTAGCACTTGGGCTGATTCTTGTGCTGATAGGTGCTCTGTGGTGACGTGTATAGTAGTGTCTTTCATGAACAATGTAAGTTGGATGAGATTTTCTTTCGTAACGTTCCCCTTTGCTAACACTTGTAGTCGAGGACTTTTCAGGAGGTACAAACATTTGGCGATTGTCACGGGCCCATGCATGGCCAGCAAGTACATGGAGGTATAATAGTATCATGTTGAATCGAGTCATGCGCTTCATTCAAATCTTGTGCTCATGGTTCACAATCGCGTGGCGGGCTTGGGAGACGGGAGCGACTGGTGGCTAGCCTGCATGCACCTGTTACTTCCAAAAACCTATAAGCGCCAAGTTGCATGAATTTTTGGAGCTTTGCCAGTTTAACTGAGGACAGAGCACTATTTAATAATGATTTTCTGTATCAAAATGCTGTGTAAGGCTTCAATGGCATACACATGGTCGTATAAGCAATTATATACCTACCTAATGGTCGACTCTGTGATCCTTCTGTATTTAAAGGCTGTAAATTCTTATATAAGTAGTCCGGGATACGATCATATGTTCAAATTATATGCTTCCTGAAGCAGGAGGCACAACAGAAATCATTGCACGTCAGAGTTCAAGATGGTTAGGTATCAACGAGCCTTGTCATGACGTCATTTACTGCATGCATGAAGATTCGCCTTCGTTTTCCAGCTATAGACGCGGGCATTGTGGCCGCCATGAAGCATTTCAGAACAGATTGGATGCAAGTGCCAACAAGAAGCATGCACCAGAAGACAACCCCCATTCATAAAAGTACGGCCCCCCATCATGAATTGTCTGCAGAGCAGCAGAGGGCATGCAAAGGAAGTGCCGAAGCAGCTTCGCCTCGCAGCGGCCCAAGCCAGCTGAGGCCCTGTGGCTGGCTTTGCTTGCCCTGACAGTCCCTGCTCCTCTCCTGCCTGACCCTCTAGCCTTGCCAACCACAGACCCTGGAACGTGCCTGCCTTCCGCCCAAACCGTGCCCAAACGTCTAAGACGACTTGACCCGGCCGAAGGTCTTGGCCTTCTCGGCGCTGGTCTGGAAGCGGCCGTGCCCGAACTTGGACGATGTGTCGATGAACTTGAGCTTGATCTCCTCCAGAGCACGCCGGGACTCCTGCACAGGACAAAGGCTCTGCCGATGAGTGCCTGCTTCTGTGGATAATAATGAGTTGTGTTTGCTTGCACAAATGACCACAATTCAACAGCTTCAATTTTTGGTCGGACTCACAAAGCCAACCTGCCTGGAGGGTGATCGAACGAAATGAAGCATAGTGGACACAGGATGAATGCAAAAGCCCCCCTTGGTGCACTCCTGAGAGTTAGTGGCATGTGGTGAGTGTCTCATTGGCCGCATCACAGCCCAAACGGAGAGACAGAAGAAGCAGTCCCCAAATTTAATTGTGGGTGCGGTCCACTTCTGCGGTCCACTTCAGCCAAAACCTCACCTGTCGGAGCAGCGACTTGCGGAGAGTGATGACCCGCTTCTTGGGCCCCATCACGCAGCCCTTGAGGAGCAGGTAGTCCTCGTTGACTGACCCGTAGTGCGCAAAGCCGCCCATGGGGGTGATGTCCTTCTCGGTCCGGTCGAAGTCGGTCATGGCCAGGTGGGTCTCCTCACCCTTCTGCAAAGGACACAGCACGGAGGAGCTGTGTAAAACTGCTTTGTCGGCTCAACTTTTGAAAGACGACCACAGGAAAAAGTTACAAGAATCACTAGCACTGACAAGCGTTGTGGATAGGGACAGGTTCACTTGTGAGGGCTTTTCTGTGGCAGCCAAACCACACCGAATCATGGATGCCGAAAGCCTTACCTTGCCAATCCTGTAGATCTTCTTGTTGACCTCTGTCCTGTGATGATACCCGTTCTGCCCAGCACGCGCCACTGAGAAGGCCACACGGGCAGGATGCCAGGCGCCGATGCAAGCAACCTTCCGCAGACCACGATGGGTCTTGCGAGGCAGCCGCGTCACACCCCACCTGCAAGCACAGCCCAGACGTTGGTCAACAAAAAGCATAAGAATTTTTTGCAGGACACGGTCATTAGTCAATTGATCAGAAGGGTACGAATGAACTCCAAGAGGTGCAAATTTCCAATGCGCAATTGCTGTGGGCGCTATTGCTGTTTGCTTCACACCCAGAGCTGGGCAACTTGATTAAATGGGGCTCTCGTCAGAGAGAGAATATTCCCATCCGAAGAGAATTAAGAGCAAGCAATCCAATCCTGTGAGAAAGTGCACTTCTCCCAATCCAATTCTGAAGCAGCCAGACAGCTTACCTGTGCACAACACCCTCGTACCCGTGCCCCCTGGTCACGCCGATGATGTCAATCTGCTCGTCCTTGCTGAACACAGCGTCAACCCCGACCTTCTTCTCAAAGTACTTGACCGCGAAGTCGACCTTGTCAGCCACGCTGCCACCGTTGATCTGGACCTCCATCAAGTGCGCCTTCTTCTGCCCAATCCCCTTGATGAGCTTTACCTGGGTGTGAGCCAGGACACGCACGACCTGCAACCCAAGATTGTTGATCAGCCTAAACTACTTGACAATTTGCTGGTTGCTGGGGGGACCATAATACTAGCTCTCAGACGCGCAAGGACTTGGGAGTGAAGCGCAGATGGCTGGCTTTGCTGAAGGTGGCCAGAATAACATTCCTAAATTAGTGCAACCCGTCTGCACACCCTATGTCAGCAGCTCACGATTCCGGGACCCGGTAGACTCTTGAAAGCCAACAGTGATGCTAGCAACCTACGGTGGTAATGGTCACTGAAACCCATGATCTCGTTGATACTATTTTGAGATGAAAGACTACGAGCACAAGCAACAAGGATGGTACTCACGGAGCAGTACTTCTTGATCCTCTCCAGGTCAGAGTCAACTCCCTTCTTGCCCTCCCCCTCGCCGTACTTGCTCTTGGCATACTTGGTGAAAGCCTTCTTCTTGGACTGGCCGAACCTCTTGTAGAAGCGCCTCTTGACGCTCTCGTCCAGGTGCTGCGCCCACACGGTGGCCAGGCTGCGCAGGCCACGAGGAGTCTTGATGTAGCCCACGACACCGACAATGACCATGGGAGGAGTCTCCACAATGGTCACCGCCTCGCAGGTCTCCTTCTTGTGAAGCTCTGCAAGGGGCAGCAGTATGTCAATCCCAACTCCTAAAATAGTTCTGGCCGGAAGAAACCTGCTGGTAATGGTCACATAAGCATACAGCGATGAAAACGCGCCTTACGGCTCAGATAACTCCTGTCTGCAGTTTGATAGGATAGACATAGAAATCGAAGTGGATGCAGCAAAACATGGCACCCGGCCTCCTGCCATAGATGAGCGCCCGCACCAAACTTCAGCATATACTTTCAATATAGATAAAGAGGCCCAAGATGTCGGCGCCCGATACTCACTTGAGCCCGGCTTGTCCACGTCACGCATGATGTGCGTCATGCCAGCCTTGTAGCCCAGGAAGGCCTGGAGCTGCGGGGCCTTGCTGGGGTCATCCTTAGCCCAGGACTTCACTGCAGGCAACAAAAGCGACGCTCATCTTAGTCACCAGTCCATTGGAGCCTTTGCAGGGCAGACGGCAAACTTGAAGGCCCCTTCAGAGTGGAACTGCCACACACGCATTGCAGTAAAGCAAAGGAGGTGCACATCCTTCGCTTATCGTTTGAAGATGGTACCATTACCAGGCCAGACGCTCAACCAGCATCTCGGTTGGCAACACATATCCCCCCCACACCTGCTAATCCATGCTTCATTATAGGGCCTTGACCTTGCTTATCCCTCAGTGAACCGCCAAACCAACAACAGCCCTTTGCATTGATGCCACTTCGTGCGAGCGCCCACCCTTGCTGGCGGCTACTTACCCTTCCCCCTGATTCTTCTGGCCCTCTTCTTGGGCAGGAACCCCAAGGACCCATGACGGGGGTGCTCAAACTTCCTGTGACTCATGGCGGCAGGCGCGGCAGCTGCCCTGGCCTGTGCCGATTGGAAAGAGGACGAAGCAGGATGCGGATCACGCAGATATCCTTGCTGCGCTGTGGTGAAGTTGCTACCGGTTCAAACTGGGCGTTCCCCGGAACTGGGTTTCGCAGCCAGTTTCAGGTACGAAGTGAACCGGGATGTTCTACCGACTGCCCTGGCCCGAACTGGAAGACTCTGCATGAGGCGGAGAAGTTGAAGAAGCGGGCGCAAGCGGGCGCAAACGCATGCATGAGATTGAACCTTGACTCTCTCTCTGACTCTGAGCAGGTTTCAAATGGTTTCAACTTTCAAGGAACCAAGTCTGCAGGCCTACCTAGTATTCCAGGTCCAGGGCCCTGGGCAGCTGCAGGCCGGGTCCAATCAGGGAAGGGTGGTTAGCAAGAAGCATTCTGGTGCACTCATGCGCAAATGTACAGCAGCCAGCTTGTAATGCAGCGCTAGAACTTTGGGCGGCGGTGTGCCGTACTTTGTCTGTCGAGCTTTTTAAAGTGGAAAAGTCCAGAATGACAAGATGCCGTTTGGGCAGGTTGTCGTTGGACCTCCCGGTTCGGGCAAGACAACATACTGCAATGGGATGCAGCAGTTCTTGTCGGCTCTTGGAAGGTTTGCACTCCAGCGCCTTTGCAAGTGCACCACCACGGGCATGGAAGTGTGGCATTTCTTGCTGTCCTTCTTGAGAGCAATCTGCACGGTGCTTTCAGCATTCATTTGGACGTTGTTGATGGAGTGGTGGTAAAAAGTCTTGATGTGGGCTTTGCTTGCCGGTATGACCAGCAAACAGACTTTTTGGAAACTTCACTCATTACACATGCTTTCTACTTGATACACATTCTTTTCTGAGATCTTTGAAAAGAGAAGCGGCAAAGAAACCTCTGCTTGCATGTGTATCGGAACGTCTGGAAGTAAGTTCGCTACGTCGGTTGGGCCCTTTAGTTGGTTTGTAATCAACAAATCTTCGTTGAGCCCGGTAGCCATTACATGATTGCAGACCCCAAACCAGTGGGTGCCATGCTCCTCAAGCAGCAAGGAATCCTTTGGCATTCTACAAGGGCACTTACATTCATGGTGGAGGGGGAAAGTGTGCCCTGCGTCATCACAAAAGTTGTTCTAGGGGGGATAGTAAAGGTCACCCGTAAATCTCGTTTCATGGATTACGTCTTGGTTGGCCCATCTCAACCCCCAGCATTCATATCATTGCAGAAAGACTGCAGTGATCAACTTGGACCCAGCGAATGATGCCCTGCCTTGCGATTGTAGCGTGGACATTGAAGAGCTGATCAAGCTGGATGATGTGATGACCCAGTATGGGCTGGGCCCCAATGGTGGCCTGGTCTACTGCATGGATTACCTGGAGAAGAACATCGACTGGCTGGAAAAGAAGCTCGAGCCCCTTGCAAAAGGTGGGATGCATGCCCTTGCATTACCTCGAGTCCCTCTCCTGGTCCTGACTACTAACCTGAGTATGACTGAGCGTTTTTATGTATCTCAAGCTGTGGCAAAAAAAGTTGCCAAGATGTGGCGGAAAGAGGGGATGACCTAACCAACATATGCATGTGGAGTTGATGATCTGGTCAGCTTTAACTCTGCTTCTGCAACTAACTAGTCCTGATCATTGCAGATCACTACCTGCTCTTTGACTTGCCGGGCCAAGTCGAGCTCTTCACCCTCCACCCACATGTCAAAAACGTCATTGACACCATGACAAACAAGTGGAACTTCAGGGTGAGCAAGATCATTGCGCGCTGTTTATGCCGTGCACCCGTAGCACACTCATGCTAGAGTTCAATACCTTGTTCAGTACCAATATTATTCTTGCTTCGGCATGCCTGTCCAGACAGACTGTTCCAATCCACTTCGTTGCTGGAGAGCTGTTCTTCCTTTCGCCTGCAGTTGACAGCGGTCCACCTGATCGACTCCCACCTGTGCACCGACCCTGGCAACTACGTCAGCGCGCTACTGCTGTCCCTATCTACCATGCTCCACCTGGGACTTCCGCACATCAACGTGCTCTCAAAAATTGACATGATTCAACAGTACGGACCATTAGGTGCGGAGATGTCTTGTTTTTCCGTTCATAAGTCTATGAACTCGCTGGTTGGAATCAAGGCCATTTGCCTGCAAAGCTCTGGATGATTGCCAGGAATGGACATCAGCATTTCAAATCGTGGAAATTTGGGTATGATGACACTGCTGCGGTCTTTTGCGGTCGTCGAAAGTCCAACACTCTGCTGAAACTCGACCTCATTCATGCTTTTGCTGCCTTCCAGCTTTCAATCTAGATTTCTACACGGAAGTTCAGGACCTTGGCTACTTAGCGCACCACCTCAACCAGGACCCCCGCTTCCAAAAGTATAGGTAAGCACGAGCGTTGTGCAAACGGGCATAGAACGATCAAGAGGACGTCCACCATCAAGAGGGTCCGCACAACTGCTTGAGACAAGTCATGAAACGGACAAGAGCAAGAAGGGAATTTGCCAGCATGAGATGAGTTTTGGGCATGCGGTGCTTCTGCAATGGAATCACCCATGGTGTTCTGATCTCGGTGCCTATCAAGAGTTTGATGGTTGGGCCAAAAGCTCCTGGTTGACTTGTTCTGCTCGATATGCGCAGATATCAGCCTACTTCATTTTGATTGAGCAATGTCGATTCGGTAGCACTGATTGCACGGGAGTCTCACTTTCGAGCATCGGTTGGCTTGGGGTTGTCCTGCGAGAATCTCCGACGGAGCTCGAGCCGGCGCTGCCTGTCGAGGCTCTACATTGGAAAAGACTTTGAAATCTGCTTCAACCTGCTCCAAACCATCACCAATGTACTTCCCCGGATCAATCTCAACTTTCCCGGTTTGAGATAAATCGAACGCCGATCTGTTCCGTTCTTCTGCAGGAAGCTGACAGAGGGGCTATGCGAGGTGATCCAAGACTATGGAATGGTCAGCTTTGCCACACTTAACGTCAATGTGAGTCTACGATCCGATACAAACGTTCTTGTCAACCAGGAACTTTGACCCCCATTATGCATCTATGATGCAGCTTGATCGGATGCGGCTTTTAAGCTTGGTATGGCGTCCAGCAGCTCACCCCAAAGAAGATGGTTCTGCTGGGTCCATTGTTGGTTGGTAACAAGATGCAACTGAGGCCGTGACCTGGGATTCCCTGATAGACAATCGAAAGGCAAGATTATCTAGATTGAAGCAACCGACAGTCTGAGCCTGACTCTGCCGTTTTCTAGCCAATATGTACGGATGGATGTCGCGTCATCAATTCAAGTCAACCGCACGGCTCGGGCTCGATGAGAAGCAGAACAGTGTGCGAACACCCTTCGATCGTCGCCCTCTGTCGCAGGACAAGGAGAGCGTGTACGAAGTGGTGAAGCTGGTCGACAAGAGCAACGGCTACGTGTTTGCGGGGATCGAGGGCGACGTGACGGAGCTCTCCAAGGTGGCGGCCGGGGACACCAACTGGGACTATTACAAATATCCTCCGCCTGCTGCTTTGCCCGTTTTCACGAATACTTTTTCGACCGGCAGGATTCGCGCATCTCGAAAGCAGTCCTTCTGGGCTGGACCGTTCAATCGTGTATCAGCGACTTCCGGAGTCCGTGGTGGTTCTGGCAGAGTTCTCAGGCATCCCGTAACTTCTGCATTGGCCAGCCCACTCTTGTCTCTACGTGCGCCAAGGGGTAAAGACGCTGTGCTCTTTTACATTTTGAGAACGAACTGGCAACTGCTGCTGTGCATTTCGATATCGGGAGCTTGTGCCCTGATCGTAGCAAGTGTGCTGCTTGTTTTCGTGACTTGCTGACTGATTGCCCCTTCGTTTTTTGGGCCTTCTCGTATGCTGGACTAAGCCATTATCCATGCACCGTTTCATATCCGAAAGGCGCAGGCGGAGATCTTCGACAACTTGCAAACGGCTTGGCTTTTAAGTGCTTCTGTACACTGCTTTTCCTTGACCCCCATTTCCACAGCAGCTGCAGTTCAGGAGAAGTACGTTGATGATATCAGAACCTCCAGGGACTTTTGAGGACGACCCTGTAACAGCACCCTTTGTCAGATCGAGCGAAGATTCGGGTTCAATCCATGGGTCCATGACTAAGGAAAGAGGCTAAAATCCTTATTATTTGATGAGTTTCGCTCCCATGCGTGCATCTCAAGTCACCTACTAGACTTGAAGTAGTACTCCAAGTCTGAACAAATGTAGTCGCAGAATCAGGTCGATTGCAAGCTCAATAAAATTCGTATTGCGCATACTCTAGATGCCTCCGAGCAGTGGCTGAACGTAGCGTATGGCATGGGAAGCAAACATCTGAGAAACATCTGGCTATGGATCGCTTTCGACTTAGCATGATCTATTGCTCCAATGAATCCTGATGCGTTTAGGTTGAGACCGGCTGCCTGCTGCTCTATAAATGGAGAGCCAAAAGATTGTTAGCTGTCTACTTTGTGAAACCATCAGGACGTCCAGAATCCTGCATCATGCACTGCACAAACTTTGAGTGTCCTTTTTGTCGGATGTCCGAATGGCCCGTTCGTGGTGCACTTCTTGGGACGCATTATTGCAAGGGTTGCGTGCAAAGAATCGTTCCAAGCTGAAGGTCACAATCGAGGAGAAAATTGGTGTTGAAGCCTGAATCATCTCGTACGATGAAGCCATGAGGAGTCTACGGGCGGACTATTTTGCTATGCTGAACAGGGAAGTGATGATGATGGTGTGATGGGGCTGGCCGCCGCCGACCACGCGCTGGATATCGCTCATTTTAATCGACAGTTCAGCAGATTGCTATCCATTACAGGGCCAACACGAGAGTGTGACGCGGATGGCAGTGGACTCAATAACGTGATTACGCAAGTTCCATTGGTTTACACCGGGTATGCCGAGGCTGGAACCACAAGGTGCTTCACTTGCGCCCGGGTCAGGATGCGATGCCAGATCTTTTTCAGCCTGAGATCGATCTGTTAGGCAAACACAAATACGTCCATTCGATCATTCGACACAGCTGGCATATTGTCCCTAGCGTGTGCAACCTCCAAGACGCCGACTTTTTTTCGGCCAAGGTGTAGGTATTGTAGGGCTCAAGGTAGTCAAAGCCCAGCTAGTGATACACCCGAAAATAAGCCAAAATAAGATGTTGAATGCTGCAGGCGGCAGCGCGGGGGCAGCGCGGCCCCCGAGGACGTAGCAAAGCTTTTTAAAGAGGGCTGAAGTGACTTGTTGAAGATATACGGCTCCATGTGAGATAGGTACACATGTAGGTACCTAAATTAGCAGCCATTGGGCGGGCATTGGGCGGCCACGCCGGCCTGGCAACGTCACGGTTGCTCCTGTTCGCTAGTGTCTCGCGATCTGCCGGGCCGCGCTGCGCGGCAGTCACGCCGTGACGGTCACCACTCACCAGTTGGCGCGACCTTGCATTCCCACCCAACCCGGCCCGGTACGTCTACCGGGCACCCCGAGCCCAACACCGTCTGGCATAGGCTATGAACAAAAGGCGCCCGGCGCAGCTATACGGGCCGGGCTCACGCCATTCCGTTACCAAGCACCTCATAGACCATTTCCATTCAGAAAGTTAATCGAAGAGCAGATCCCCAGCCTATGTAGTATGGAAGCTCAGTTGCCT